TCTCTGGACATAGCATTTCGTTTTTGTGCCCCTTTGCAGTCGCGGAAGCTGCCGAAGCTCTGTGGAAGCCCTTTTTGTGCGCAAGGGTGCGCAAGGGTGTATGTTTAGTCATATATGATATTGTGAATCCTACGTGGAACCCTGTCCTTCTGGAGTCCTAGACTGTCCTCAGTCACCCCTGTCCCTAGACACCGAACCCCTGGTTTCTCCTCGGTGTAAATGCCTCTGCCCACCCACCACTGCATTGAGACGGCGAGTCATCGAACGGTCATCAACCATCAATGGACAAATCACATACATTAAAAATCTCTATGTTTTCTTCTCCTGTCCGTCTTTCTTAACCCATAGGAGCTTGTTCCTTCGGTCTGCCCTCTCCTTCAAGGTAGACTCTTCGTCGTAAAGACTGTAGCGACCCTCCTTTAGGCACAGGCGAAGTAGTGACCCGTCCATTGATTTAGTTAAAGAGTCAGCAAGTTGAGCTCTTGAGCTCACCCAGCGGATGCGGCAGCTTTCCTTGAGGCGTTCCCTAATCAACAAACACTCAAGGCACGTTCTGTATTCCTCACATGAGGGAACTGAAGTCCGTGTTGCAATGTCATAGACTGACTTGCAGTCTGTGGCCACTGCCGCTGGATGATCTTCGCTCAGAATGCGGCTGGGATCTGTTAAGTCAATTGAGGGGTCAACCAGCCATTTCCAAAACAAGCGGAGCCAAGACAATCTGTCAAGGCATGAGCTCAATGCGACGGCTTCTGCACTGAGGGTTGACCTCACTACCCGAGCTATCTTCCGTGAAGACCAAGCCATAGGGCATACCACACTAGGTTGGTTGTCAAGAATCCTCTTATCGGTTGCAAATATTATCTGGCCTTGTCTGGATGACAGCTCACGGCATGTAGCGAATGAGGCATCCGAGAATGCACAAAATGTGAGAGTGTTCAATGGCAATGGAACAATGTGCAAGCATACTGGGTGTGTCTTTGCTTCATGGAGGACGCGGTTCAAAGTGAGCATATCTTCCACCTTTGCTCTAGTCACCTTTGACTGAATTTCTCCTATCTTGGCGGCCAGATCTGGCCGGGTGTTCACCGCTGAGTATTGTAGAGACCCTACCAGTTGCCTGATCTCCTGCCTTTCACTCTCAGTCACCGGATCTTGGAGTTCGGCTCTTCTTGTCTTGGGGATTTGAATAGGGGAAATCTTCTCAATGTAATCCCTCTGATCAATCTCAATGGAACCATCATCCCACTGAAAATATTGAACCCCACAAAAGACGAAACTCTTCTCCCGGTAGGCACCAAAACTAAATTTTTCTTGGAGACTTGTCAGGACCGTGTGGAAGTATTCATCACCTCCACCTATCCCATCATCCACATGAATCCCGAGCACCCCACGAACCTGAGGTCTTTGGTCTGGTCCTTCGGTAACCAATGAAAACACACAATTGTCAAAAGGACAACAAACAAATCCTAAACTCTCAAGGGTCTTCTTGAACGAGGTGTACCATAAATACGGACCATCCACCCGACCGTAAGCTCCGCCCTGAAGGAGGCATTGATCATCTCCTTTCATCTTAAGGGCTTGCGCCATCTCTGGAGGTGCTTCTAAACCAAGACGTCGGCCATCCCCTTCCCCTTTGAGAAAGGCGGTAGACACGTCAAAGTTGATCAGCTTCCACTTACTGCTACTTACTGTTTGGAGCAAGAGCATCCTTCCATCCTTACTCAAAGTGGGGGCGTCATTGGGAACATACGACAACCCTGGGTCGGTAAATCCCAAAACGACTAAACGCGCTTTCGCCCGTCTCTCTCCACCTGGGGTCTCGGGGGGCTTCCAAACAAGGATCCACCTGCACCTCATAATTTCCTCTGGCTGGAGAGTTCCAGCCGTCACCCGCTTGACCGTGCCGTGGTCTAACCATGCCTTGAGCTCTTTGTTCTTGGCAGCAGAAAACTTAGCTCGGTCCTCTGCACTCAGGTCCCCCCACCTAACCTCTATCCTCTCTTTCTTGGGACTTGTGGTCAACAAGATCTCATACGCCTGCACGCATGAACAACACTCTTCAGGGGTGAGGGTAGCCCAGGGACCGTCTTTGAACGTGATCTCAAAGCATGATTCTGTGGACCAGGTCTGGTCATCTCCAAATGCAAATAGCTCATCATCACTTGGAACGGGAACATCAGTTCCGTCGACTTGCATATCATCGCCGTCCCAATTTGGCACTTCGGGCGCCGATCCTTCATTTGGAGAACTCGGAGGTGCCATTTCACTTTCTGGCTGGGAGTTGGGAGGGATTTCAACATCAATCATATCGCTGGGACCTTCACTTGGTTCATACTCTTCATCAGGGATCCCTTCGAGTGAAATGAAATCCCTTGGACCCTTCCCTTCTGCCAATACTTCGGGTTTCACTCCTCCAGATGAATCTTTGGGAAGGAGGTGGTATTCTCGGAGAGAGGCTGGTCTAACCTGCTCAGGACTCGCCCTTACTAACCCTCCCCCATGACTCAACCACAACACCCTACTCCCTTCAACCGCTATCACCTGTGAGGGGCCATACCACCTACCTTTCTCTCTCCGGGAACTTTGTTGGGTCCTCTTCCAGTAGAGTACCCAATCCCCCTTTTCATACATGTCACGACTAGGGCGTGTTCTTCGAAGCAACGCACGACGAAAGCTGGAATCGTTGTCTGCAGAAATGAAACTCCGTCGAGCCTGCTCCCTTCTCCACAAACTTTCCCTAAACTTGATTCCTTCCGGAGTTCCACTCTCTGCCAAAACATGGCTACCTGCAAGATCGTCGGAAACAAGGGAGCCAGGTAGAGTTCGAGCCTTACCCAACAAGGCTTGTTCAGGTGTGAAACCATTGACTCTGCTCAAAGAGTTCTTCGCAGCAAATGCATGTCTCAAACAGGCCCGAAACTCATCCTCGTTTTGGATGGGTTGCTCATTGTCCATCCTGGTCAACATTCCCTTTATGATGGCTCCATGTCTTTCCGTCCGACCTAACTGCCATGGTGAACCGCCAGCAGTCATTGCCAATTGGATCCCTTCCTTTTGAAGGAAATCCCGCCACTTGTCTGTGACATATTCCCCGGCTGGGTCCACATACAGGGTTTTACATGGTCCTGCCCATTGCAACCAGGTGTCCTCAAATGCCCGGATCTGGTCTTCGGTGGTTCTACTGCATGGAGTCCCCAAATGAAACAGCGTACCCTCATCAAGGAAATGAACAAAATAGTAGCTCTTCCCCATCTTACCACTCCAATATACCCCATCACATCCTACCTCATCGTTGAAGTCCAAGTCTCGGTGTATGGTTCCGGGTTTGCTGGACATGGGGGCTCCTACCGTTTCCGCACACGTCGCGCATTGGAACTCAGCTGCTCCATCCAAAATGTCTTGTGGTGAACCTCTCTCCCTCAGGAACTTTACAAACAGATCAGTTGAGGGGTGTCCCAAATTCTGATGGAGTCTGCTGATGTCCTGGCGCTTCTCGGATGACAAGCGGTTGTAGGCGGGGCCTGACACCGCAATTGGTCTGGGAGCCCATCCGGTGGTATCCTGACTTGCCAATTCTTTTCCTTCCTCAACCTCTTGGGACTCCTTCTGGACGGGTACCATCTCAACATCTCGGTCCTTCCCCCGTGGTTTCCCAAAAATGGTGATCGCAAGTCTGGAGGGTCCACATGCTCGGATGCGCTTCAGCTTACTCAGTTTGAGCCATTCCTCCGGGGGACCCGTATCCACACACTCCCCAGTCTGTCTGTGAACATAAATTGTCTTCCTGAGGGGTATGGATTCCGTGTCGCTCTCGTTCGGTGGAATGCGATATCGATCAGTTCCACGACATGAGATGACTAACCGGACATCCATCTCTGGGACCTTCGACCCACTTCTTTCACTCACATCCCTCCCAACAATATGAACACCAACTCTAGGAGTTTCTGATGACACGCTTTTCATTAGGTCGTCCCATGATGTGTCCTGGTGATCGTCAAATGCAGGTGGTCTTACTTGTTTAAAATCGCATCGCCGCCGCTTCAGCCGCAAAGACTCGAGAGCAATTCCTCGAGAATCAGCAGATCGTTTTTGCCCTTCGGAAGCCTCAAAACCTGCCAACAACTCTTCAACAACAAGGGGGTCCTCACCACTCTCTCTACTCCTACTAACCACCCTCACCACGTGTTGTGCAAAAGTTGTGGTGTATCGCGCGGCAAATGCTGAGATGTTCTGTCTGTTTTCCTGGTATGTGTAGCTTCCTTCAATGGTCTGGTGTTCATGCTGTTGTTGGCACCATTTGCCATGGAGCATCTGGTGCATCAACCTGGATGTCGTCTGTACGTTGGAGCGCTTCCGAAGGTACTTGTCCGTTCCCGGAACTCGCAGTTTGCCAACGGTGCACTGGTCGAAGGAGGCTGTCAAAGTTCCCGACATGATGTCATATACTTCTGGTTGTTTCAACATGTCTGAACCTTGAGGTTGCTCCAAATGAAAGTGTCGTCCATGTGAAACTTGATGCCAATAGATGTCATTACATAACTTCAGGTACCTTCGTTCAAACTCTCGCATGAACAAAATACGTGATTCGGATTCTCTACTTCGGGTCATGTTCAGTCGGGAAAAACCCCCCCACCCCTTACAGTCTGGAGCCGTCCAGATATGGAGTGGTTCATACATATAGATCCAGGTCCACAATTTGTTGACCCCTTCCACCGTTGATAGATCTCCATCTTCTAACGTGAATCTCAACCCTTTTCCTCCCATCTTATTCATTTGGGTGGTCATCTGGGATTGGGGAAAACAAAAGATCTCCAAGAGGTCAACGGGCCGATCATACACTGGATCACAAACCTGTTTCTGAGGTCGCTGACAAAAAGGTTCTTTGGTAGGTAAAGTGGACAACCCGTCCTCAATCGTTTGAACAACTTCCGTCAATCGTTTCTGGACCTCAGCAACTGGAATCTTCGAATTTGTCACCTTCGGTTCACTGTCGGGTCTCACGGGGTCTCCGGCACCGGCGGGGCATCTTGGTTCTCGTAGCCGTGTCGAGCCAGTTCCCTCTGGAGCATTGCGATCTGAGTCTGAAGGGCTTGAATGTGCTGCGGGTTCGGCTCGATGGTCATGGGCTTTTCGTCCTTGGCTTTGGGAAGAGCCCTCTTGTGAGGTGTCCCCTTGGAGCTGGCCGGACTCTTCTCCGTGGTCTTTGTCATCGGTCCTTGGGTCTGATGAGCTTCCATGTACTCTGTATACTCCATCGTCTCCCAGTCGATGTGGCTCCACTCGCTCTCGGTGGAGGATTTCCCTTTTGTCTTCCTCACCGGCATTTGTGATGCCTCCGCTTCCTTCTTCCGACGGGCCATGCAGTAATTCTGGAAGCTGCGCATGTCGACTCCTGTGAGCCTTTTGTGGCGCAGGATGAAATTCACATAGTTGGCGTCCATCTCGAACAGCACATCGAATGACTGACCGGCATGTTTGCCGGTGCTCATTTTCTCCTGTCCCCACTGCTTGAGGCTGGTCATCCCCGGTGGAATCATGTAGGTGTAGTCCAAGGCCTGTCGGGTTTCTGACACCAAAGTCGGGTCTTCTTCCCCCGACAGCTCGTCCTCCGTGGAGTGGTGGGCCATTGTCTTTTTCATTGCCATGATCGTTGGTCTCGTCGATGTCGATCTCGGGCTTCGGAAGGATGATAGCTTGAGCTGTCTCTTGGGCTGCACGGTCGTTCTGATCCAAGTCTGTGGGATGCTGAAACTCTGTTTGCTTATTTGGTGTCTCCTCATTCTGAATTCTGCTGTCATGCATGTGGTGGGGCGACTTGTGTTGTGTGTTTGTGTTCTGTGAAATTGAATGAAACACTTCACCCTTTTCATCATCAAAATCAACATTCAACAACTCCCGAACACTCACACAAATCAAACGCCGTCTAACCTTTCGCAAATCGAGTTCTTGTTTCGCCCCATGGAACCACAGTTTCCCCCTATAGGAATCGATTACCCCCTTCATTCCTTGAACAACTGCGTTTGACAACAAGAACGGTGTGCTTCCGGGCACGATCTCGACGCGAAGCCATCCTCTGCCTTTTCGCTGCAAAAACAGTGCTTCTTGGGATTGGAGCGTGCCGCTATTTCCAAACTTGAACACACAACTGGAGGGACCTCTCTTAACCTTGACACCTTTCAAAGTTCGAACCAAACCCTCAACTCTACGACTCCCTATCACAGTTCGGCTCGCTCCGGTGTCCAAAATAGCTTCGTCTGAAGCTTCTTCAGTCATCTGCCCTAGTCCTGTTTGGTCATGGACGTTCCAGGCAGGAAGGATTGGTGAGGAGGCTTTCTCAAAATTGATTCGCGTCTTGGCTGAAGAGGCACATTCAATTCGCCCCGGCCTCTGAGCGACATGGAGAGCTGATCGAAGGTGACTTCCAAACAGACCACTGTCCCAAACAGTAAAAACAGGAACCCCTTCACTCACCCCTGGTGTCTCATGTCCCTTTCGAGCGTCCGGGACAATCAATGTTGACGGCTTACAAAAGCTTTTGATTAAACTGGAACAAGGCTCATAGTCCTGGACGTCTTCCGGCAAGGTGTCCATGAGTTCGGGATCTTGCTCCGGTTCATAGGGCGTCTCCGCCATGGTGGTGGTCTCCGCCTGTCGTTCAAAGCGCTGAGGACATTCTCGCTTCCAGTGGCCAGGCTTTGAACAAATTCGACAGGTTGAATTTGCAATCCTCTCTGCGAGTGTCTTTCGAGGAGGTGCCCATGAGCTCTTCCATGAACTCTTCTTTCCTTTTCCCTTGTTCATCTGACTTCCACCCTTGCCCTGACCTGGTGGCCAGAAACCTCGTTGGCGAACTCGTTCACGAAGTCGAGCACGGGCTTCTTGGTATGCTGAAAAGCAACTGGCCAGTTGACTGGACTCTTGCACAGCATTGATGACCTCTTCCTCGAATTCTGCCACAAACACTGCGTCTTCATCTCCTTGGTCTTGTAGAAGTTGAAATGCCTGCTCCTCCTGGTGTTCATCAGGAGGTTCAAAAGTCACCATGGTGTCCTCTTCGCCAGGCGTCTCCGTGACGTTCACGTCATAGGTTTTGTTCTTGGGCTTTGCTTGACCATGAAGGTCGGTAAAGAACTTCGACCCAAGAAGGCGAACTCGGTCTCTGGTAGGACCATATTTCAGCACTCCATCGGACTCCACGATGATGCGCTTCTTGTCATCCGCAGCCAAGGCAGAATGCCTCAGGAGGATGTATGCTCGAATCTCTTCGAGGCTGATGCCCTTTTCCTTGGCCATCACTTCTTCGAAACAGGCATCATGCCGGGCGAGATAACTGTCATTTGTTTCGTCCCCCTTCTGAACGGTCAAAAACAGCGCCCGCTCGAACTTGAGGTAGCGGTCTTCTGCTGAAAACCTTCCCCATTGTAGGCCTAGTGCGGCCAGAACTGCAGCAACCCCATTCTTGGACTTGAGTTCCTCCGGGCTGATGCGAGAGATCTTCTTGAAGGAGACTGGATCGCACTGAAGGGCCGCTCTTGGGGCTAAATGCCCAATGTGTTCCTCAGGCCAGATGCTGGCCAGAAAGGTCAGCTTCTTCCCATAGTCATCCAGGTCCGTTTCTCCAGCAACAAAACTTGGAATCTGCGCCCAAGGCAGTTGGCTGGCCGGGAGGGATCCCGAGCTTCGGCCCGGTGCGGCCTCCTCTGCCGTCTGAACAGCTTTTGGGGCCATGGCTCAATCACACGATGGAGGTGAAATGTCTTTCCCCCCAAAACTTTCCTATCACCACCAACCGAGGGTCACCCTGAACCCCCAAACACACCTTGCCCCTTGTTTAAGGGGCTCCGCTACCAATGTGAATCCTACGTGGAACCCTGTCCTTCTGGAGTCCTAGACTGTCCTCAGTCACCCCTGTCCCTAGACACCGAACCCCTGGTTTCTCCTCGGTGTAAATGCCTCTGCCCACCCACCACTGCATTGAGACGGCGAGTCATCGAACGGTCATCAACCATCAATGGACAAATCACAGATATATGACTAGTTGTCCGTCAGGACACCGTTTGTCACGGAGCGACCGGTAAGTGGCGGCTCAATACCCCTTTTCAGGTGGATTAGGGATCCAGCGGTGCCGCCATGGACGCCAGTGATGACCTGGCGTTGATCTGCGGTCTTGCCGGGTTGAACACCTGGGAGACCGCAGTGATAGAGGCTGCGGGGTGGTCAGTCACGCGGCTGGCCACCTTGCAGGACTGTGGCCGAGAGACGATGGAGGCCATGGTCTGGCGCATCCAGCAGCGAGAAAGCGAATTCGCTGTGAGCACCGACACTCTGTCGGAGCTGGTGCGCAGGGCAGCCACTCGTGCTCGCACGAGGCACATGTGGGACGCGAAGCGCGGCTCGCATGAGTTGCTTGAGGCGCATGTCGCCCATCAACGCTCAGTGAGGAGGAGGGCCTTTGACGAAGTGGTCGAGGACGACGTGAAGAAGCGCATAGAGATGGTGGGGACCGCCAAGAGAGGACGGTGGCCAACACGGCTTAGCATGAAGCTCCACATCGCGTCGGGTGACCTGGCGATGAGGGAGTTGGCAGAGCGACAAGAACGTGATCGTTGGATTGTCGAGATCAAGGAGATCGTCAAGCGGGCTCGGCTCCCAGTGGCCCGCAGGTCGTCGGACGAAGCACTCATGATCCGGGTGGCCAAGGGCAGAAGAGCAAACACTTTGAGAAAGCATGTGAAAACATGGATGAAAGCTTCAAGGTGGATTGAGGCTACGTTTGGATACTCCTGGCCCGAGACGCCCGAGGCCTTTGCAGAGTTCTTGGAGGCGATGGTTGAGGAGCCCTGCGCCAAGAGTTTCCCGGAGTCGGTATACAAGTCCTTGATGTTTCTGGAGTATGCCGGCGAAGTGCCGGAGGCTGATCAGATCTGCAGAGCGCCAGCGGTCAAGAACGCGCTTGAGGAGGCAGCGCTGCGCCTGCAGTCAGTCGAGCTGAAGCCATCACGCAAAGCTTTGGTTCTGCCCGTCTCGGTGGTGATCTCGTGGGAGGCCCACGTATGTGATGAAAATATGCCGAACTATCCAAGGATCTATGCATGGTTCCGCCTGGTCAAGCTGTGGACGGGCATGCGCTTTGACGACACAAAGGGCACCCCGAATCGGACAGTCGAGATGCTGGACTACGGCTTGAAGGGGGTGATTCATAGATCAAAGACTTCTGGCCCAGGAAAGCGTGTCATCCTTCTCCCCTTCTACATCAGCAAGGAGGCCTGGATTGTGGAGAAGGAGTGGTTGTCGGTGGGCTGGAGGCTATGGACAGCGATGGGGGCAGAGTCTGGTATGCATACGAGGGACTTCATGCTCCCTTGGCCCAACAAGGCGAGGGATGGCTTCATCCGGAAGGTCGTTGATTACCCCATCGCATCGGCTATGTCGCAGGCATTGTTCAATGAGGTGCTGGCACGTCCTGGGCCTGAGAAGAAGAACCTCTTGGGCGCGGGATTGGGAGTGCTGTGGACCGAGCACAGTGAGCGGGCGACCGTCCGCACTTGGGCGCAAGCAGCGCGCGTCCCAGAGGATGTGCGGAGGATGCTGGGGCGATGGAAGCCTTCGGCTGATGAGGGATACGAGAGAAATGTGAAGACAAATGTGCTGCGATGTCAAGCGGTCCTGGCGCTGTTCATCAAGGAGAACATGTCGAACGCGGATCCGTTCGATGAGACGACGGTCATCCAGCTGGTGGCGCAGAGGATGAGGGAGATGGGCAGCAGTCAGGACGACTGCGATGAGCAGATGATGCGGTTGATGTCGTTCATGCCTGGAGTGGGTGCAGCGAAGCCATGCAATAGGCCGAAGTGGACGACCACGGGACCGGTGGTTCTGGTGGAGGAGTCGGAAGCCACGGTGGGAGTGGAACAGGAGACGACCGAGCAGCCAGTGAAGGACGAGCAGCAAGGAGTAGAGTCACTGGAAGAGCAGGAGGTCGAGCCGGTAGAGAAGATTTCAGGAATGTACATAGTTTCCATCGTGGGCCGCTGCAAGACAAGGACACTCCACCGAATAGGTGAGTGCCACAGGCAGCCAGGTGTACACTACGCCAACTATGAGGTGCTTGGAGATGATATCCCAAGCAGGTCGGCATACCATCGGGCATGTCGACAATGCTTCCGCAGCGGGATTGCGGAGGCAGCGAGCCCTCTCGAGGAGGATTCCTCGGGAGACGTGTCGTCGTCGGAGATGACGACCTCGGGGGCAGAGAGCACGGGGTGATGAAAAGTACAGGCAGTTCATCTCGTGAGAGGAAGGTTGAACAGATACCGCACAGGTAGAGTGCAGCATGAAAGGCGCGTGCGCCGTGGCGTCGGGCCCAGAGTGTTGCACTGGGGGAGGTCAGAGTGTAGGGAGAAGAGGAGATAGCTAGGGTCCCTGCACGTCGGTACTCGTCTTCGATGTGGCTAGGTAAGGAGGTAGAGAGCGTCGCGTGCGCGTGTCGGTCGAGTCTGTGTTGTAATCTCAGGCACCTTTAAGAGGTTGGCAGGCAATTCGTTTCAGGGCTGACATTTGGGAGCATTTCAAGCTGGCATGTTGCACATGGACCACGTCACAGGTGAGATGATGCATCCTTTTGGCCTAAAGCAGGGAGAGGGAACGCGTCGACGCGCCGAAGGGCCGGCGCGGAGACGTGGTGTTCGAGGATGGCAGGCATCGGGCACGACACAGAAGAGCGACGGCGAAATGCTATCGCATTGCTGGACGCCGACCTTCACGGCTTGTTGCAAGTGAAGGAGGTGGACGAGGTCATCCAGGCCAAGCTGGCGGTAGCAAAGATTCGGAGCATCAGCCGGATGAGCACAGTAGCAGATGACAGGCAGGGCATCCGCAAGTTCTGCGCTGACGTGTTGGCGTTGGACGAGACAAGGGATGTGGTGGAGATTGCTTCCCTCGTTGACACCTGGGAATCGGCCTCCACCCGCATCAGTGTGCGAAACAAGGCTGAAGCAGAAGCAGGAGTGGCGAGCTTGCCTAGGGCTGTGAACAAGGTAGAAGTGCAGGAGCTCATGGTGAAGTTTCAGACAGTGCATGGCATCAAGCTCGAGGACAGGAACACTCCAGCGACTTCAACGCTGGAGCAGATCTTCGACCAGATCGAGCAAGGCGAGATGAAGAACATGAGTCTGGTCCAGTTCCTCAGCCGTGAAGATGCAGAGGCTGACATCCTGGGCGCAACAGTAGAAAGAGGCACCGGGACATTGAAGATCAAGAAGGGATACGGGGAATGCCAAAAGCCAAGGTCGCCGGAGGAATTCAGAAAGCGGATGGCAGTGGTGTCGCATGCATACCTGCTGGCGCAATTGAAGTATCCCCAGAAAGCAAGCTTGAAGGATTTACAGCCACAACACTTTCTCAAGTACTTAGATCTGCTCCTGGGTGACCATGTTCTTGGCCTCAAGGCCAGAGACAAAGATGGGGCGGTGGTGGCAAGCCCGGACTTCGATTTGATGTTGTCGTACGACTTCCAAATTCGTCGACAGATGGTGAAGTTGGTGAACGAGGGCACCAACATCGGCGAGGCACTCAAGGAGGCTATGACAGATACCACAATCAAAGAGAGGTACTTCCTCACACCCAACGTGTACTCCCAGGTGACCCATTCTTCGAGCAGTTCAAGAGGCGAGTACACAAAGACCGACTACGCCAGGTCGAGGAGCCCACCAAGGCCATGGCACAGTTGGGGAGGAGATCACTACGAGCCGTCGAAGAGCAAAGGCAAAGGCAAGAAGGGCGGCAAAGGAAAGGGAAAGAAGGGCCGGCAGCATCATGACCGCACACCAGACGGTCGGCAAATCTGCTGGAAGTGGAACAATCCAAAGGAGCGCTGCCGTTATCAATGTGGCCGCCTGCATGTGTGTCAGATCTGTTTCGGCAGTCACCCGGCACACGCATGCGATGGCTCGGGGAAGGCCAAGGATACAGCGGGAGGAGCCGCTGACACCACCAAAGCGGCTTGAAAGAGCACGGAGGAGGGGGTGGCCTCGCCCCCTCCGGCTATGAGGGACACAACGAGAGGCACACGAATCTGCAAGGTCCTCTATTTGTTCAGCGGAGCCCAGAGGAAAGCATCGGTGGCTTCGTTCTTGCAAGCAGAGGCCAAGCAAGTACAGATCGTTTTCGAGGTGCATGAAGTTGACATTCAGAATTCACCAGATTGGGATTTGACAGACAAGTCGTTACAGCAAAAGCTGCTTCAAGAACTCAAGCAGGGACTCTATCACGTGGTGCTGATCACTCCACCATGCTCCACGTGGTCCCGGGTCCGCGGTGCCAATTGCCGGGGGCCGCCTCCCATACGGTCAAGTGAGTATCCATGGGGCTACCCATGGCTTTCAAAGCGGCATCAGAAAGACGCAGACCTGGGCAATACCTTGATCTACTTTATGCTCGACGTCCTCCAAGTGTTGGAAGATCATCCACTCTCCAATGATGGTCGATTGGTGCTACTCTTCGGAGAGCATCCTGAAGATTTGGGTGCAATCTGGAGAGAAGAAGACAATATGAAGATGATTCCAGCTTCCATCTGGCAACTGGATGCAATTCGGCAGTTTGCACGGGGAGGCAACCCACTACGCTTGTTCACTGTTGTTTTCAATCAGTGCTGCTGGACCGCACCCTATCGCAAGCCTACCAGATTGCTTACTAACTTGACTCCCCTTCGCTCCTGGGGACCAGGCACC